CTTCTATTTTCTCCCTTCTTATCTCAAGAACTTTCTATCAGAACTGCTAGATTTGTGTATTCCAGTTCTTATATTACACTGGGTAGTTGAAGCTGTGTGATAAATTTTAATATGTAGATTTTGATCAATACTTTTAAAAAACACATTTTCAAGGGCGTACCAAGAGAGTTTGTTACTTGATTTCTAAATCATTTTTCATAATTTCTCATCCTACCAGATACATATAAATTTCACTGGGTTTACTTCTGAAGGGCAAAATGTTTATTAAATTAGAAAAATAATGTTTAATGATGACATTTCTTCCCATACAGTAAATAATTCAATTTGTGATGGCAAATAAATGTGGTCATAAAGCTGCTGGGTATATTTCCTCTTGATAGAGAAGTGAACAGAAAATTATAGATATTTTTAAAAAATGGGTAAAAATTAAACAAAAATTTAAAAATGGATAAAAGGAGTCATATACAAGAAGGAAAATAAAGATCAATTTTTGCTATTATTTTGTGGTGAGAAGTGAAAAATATCAAGAATTCAGTAGAATTAGTACTGAAATTTGGACAGAACTCTGTGCATATTGGTCATGAAATAAAATTTGATATTTTCCATTTTTTTAAAAATTGGCATGTTTTTTCAAGTGATAAAATTTTAATGGAAATCATTCTGTGTTCCATTTATTAATTTATCCACTATACTTTAATGTCAGAAAATAACCCTGAATATTTTTTCACTTCTTTTCCCATAAGCCTAGGGGCCTATGAAAGCTGTTCTTTGGGACAATACTCTCTCAACTCTATGCCAGAGAGGCTGGCTTAGTGAAAATGGTGATGAGACAGGGAGAAACAATGTCCCACAGAATCTCTAAATACTCTTTGGAGCAATAACAGTTTTCTCCTGAAGATCTAATGAGGAGAAGGTGCAGAACATAATCTTTTTTGAGTTCTCCCCATGAGGGAAGAGACTGCCTTCTGTTATCAGGGAATGAAATCTCACTGCAGCTCCTTTTCCCTTCAGAATTCCTCTCTGATGGCTATAACAGCTCTTCCAGAGATGTTAAAAGAATGAAATACGAAGACCCAGGGAAACAGAAAGCCCTACTGCATTTGGTAGAGGTGAGTTTAGTGTCTCTGAGATTTTTTTCTAAACTCATTAATTGAATGCTAAAGATTCAATCAATGAATACTTGGGGATATTTGAATTGTGACATTGGACTAGGATTTATGAGAAAGTCCCACCTTTGGAGCTCTTGATTCCATAAAATTTTACTGTAAATAATAGCTAATTATTAATATTTTACTGCACTTGGTAGATGTAAATGTTTATACTTTTCCTTCCTTTATGTCTTTCATGTAGATTTTTAAGTTTTAGCTGTGTTTTTAGGCATGATTCAAATATATTCATTTAAAAGAAGCTACTTTGAAATGCCTAATACCAATCAAGGTTTGTGAAAGATAAAGTCTAATCCTGTGTTAATGTGACCTCACAATCTAGTGTAGTTAGACAAATAGTGAGTTACAATGAAATATAGTAAGAGTAAGGAGAAAAGAAAGAAGGGAAAAGGAAAAAAATATACATATATATAAGATAGTTAATATAGTTATACTAGTAGTTGCTATTAGTTCATTGAAAAGAAAGATTTGTACCTATATTGTTTGATTACTTTTTCATACTTATATCTTGTAAAAAGAGCAATAACTTTGATGATAACAATGTGCAATATACTAACCATTGTTACTCTGCTACAATTGTGTTCTGAATTTTCTTTTTTCTTTTTTTGGTGCCGGGAATCAAATTCAAGGTCTTGCTCTTGCCAGACAGGTGCTGTGCTGCTGAGCTACATCCCCAGTCCATTGTTTTGAAGTTTAGTACCATTGTTTTTTTCCTTTAAAATAATTTTTAAAAAGGAATATACTAAAGATTATGGGAGAGGCCCTCTGGAGAACACATAGACAAGGACAAACTTGGATGAGTGCATGTGTCTGTGAATGTGGATAAGGAGAGAGAGCAGAAGCATCAGTTAGATGTGTTCTGTGGGGAACAGTAGCTGAGCTGAGACTTGATGAAAGTCAGGGAGATATTTAGATAAAGAAGAGGGAGGAAGCAAACATTTCAGGAACAGTACTAACCTTCACTGAGGCAATGGTCTAGGATGCATTAAGGTGATCTCTGAAAACTGCCACAGTTCAGCTTGAAAGAGTGACAGAGGAGTATATTAGATATGTGAAAACCTATGCTAGAGCTAGAATTTTCAAAAAGCCTGGCAAACTACAGGGAGTATGTGTTCACAACAGACAATGTGAAAGGATATGATTTTAAAGGCCAAGACCTTGGAATACAGACCCATCTGCACATAGAATAAAGAAGACAAATCTTAACACATTAAATCACAATACAATGATTTAAAATAAAGAAACATCTGAGAGGAAGATTCCCATAGGTAGTGAGAATATTCAGAAACAGTAGTTTCATGAGACTGGAGGAAAAAACCTTCAAGGGTTAGTAATCAGAAATTTCTAGAGTTGAAATGTAACCATAGCAAAAGGCTAACACTTCTTTTGTTTTAAAATTTTCATGTCATTGCTCCATAAGACAGAAAGTTTTCTAAAATCTAGAAGGAAGATACTTGGCAAGTGCTTGTGAAGATCTGAAGAAGATAAAACTAATATTCTTTCAGGAGGCTGGTCTCTGAAGAAAATACTTCAAATAGGAAGTAATAGTAGATCATTTCATATACTAATTCATTTAATTATCACAACTCAGTACAGACATATTTTGGTCCTGGAGGGTGATGCTGAAGCTTAATGAGATTATATAACTTGTCTGTCATCCAATTAATAATGGACAGAGTGAGAATTCAGGCTCAATGCATTTCATGTGAACCCCTACTATTCTCTCCTGAATATGATACCTGGAAATGTCAAAGCACAAAAATACCGGCTAACTAAAATGATATTTTAGTTTTGATTTCTTCTCTGTGAGTTGGGCCTTCCCTCTCACTCATTTACAGGTAGTTCTGCGAGGGATATGGAGAGTGGAAACGTATCAGCAGTGACTGAATTTATCTTCGCTGGATTCCCTTGGTTCCAGGATGGTGGCCTCCTCTACTTTTTCCCATTACTTTTCATCTACATCTTCATAGTGATTGGAAACCTGATGATCTTCTTTGCTGTAAGGTGGGACACCCATCTTCACACTCCCATGTATAATTTCATCAGTATCTTTTCCTTCCTTGAGATGTGGTACTCCACAACCACCATCCCTAAGATGCTCTCCAATCTGGTCAGTGAACGGAAGAGCATTTCCTTCATTGGTTGCCTCTTGCAAATGTACTTCTTCCATTCCCTAGGGAACACGGAAGGGACCTTACTGACTGTCATGGCTGTTGACAGGTATGTTGCCATTTGCAACCCACTCCACTACCAGACCATAATGACTCTGCGACTATGTGCTCAGCTCTGTGCAGGCTCTTGCGTCTTTGGCTTCCTCATCCTTCTACCTGAGATTGTATGGATTTCTACACTACCTTTCTGTGGCCCCAATGAAATCCATCAGATCTTCTGTGATTTCACCCCTCTATTGAATTTAGCCTGTACAGATGCTTCTGTGATCCTGGTGCAAGATGTAATTCACGCACTTGCCATTCTCGTAACAAGTCTCATTATTTCTATTTCTTACATTAGAATTATCATTGTCATCCTGGGCATCTCTTCCTTGGAGGGCCGTAAAAAGGCTTTCTCCACATGTGCTGTCCACATTGCAGTTTTCCTGTTGTTTTTTGGCAGTGTATCCCTCATGTATCTTCGATTCTCCACTACTTACCTGCCATTCTGGGACACCACCATTGCTCTGACATTCTCTGTATTTGCTCCATTTTTCAATCCTATTATTTACAGCTTAAGAAATAAGGATATGAAAGATGCAATTAACAGACTCTTTTGCTCTCAAAAGGTATTTAATGTATGTGATAGATAATTTAGGTTCAAGTTCTTTTGTCCTAATGGAACCTCTTCTGACAATGCTGATTCCATGAAAGACTAAAATATAAAAGATTGTACACTTAGTCCAACTTTCCTATCTAATGAGCCATGTATAGACTGGCAAAGAAATTCCTCTGCTGATTTCTGGAGGTAACAGAAATAAAAATTTTATGACTTAATTTCTAGGGCCAATGAAATAGCTTCTGTATTTCTAAATTTTGTTTTTAATTTACTATTTAATTTAAAAGTTGTTAATTATTAAAATTAGTAATATTCATGTGTATTAACTTTAGTTTACTTAGTCTACTTCCCATCTTTGATATCTATATTACTTCACAATAGGCTTAGTGTTTTAAATAAAATCCATGTGCTGGGGTTGGTGTACATATTAACTCTAATATATCAAAGTTATTTATCTAAACCTTTGTAATATGTTACCTGATATTAACAAGAAGGAAAGACTCCTTGTGGTCAGACCATACTTTGTCATCTTCTCTTTGTTTACTTTCCAGTCTCCTGATTTTATTTAAGACATATATATGTACTGGTGTAATCTAGATGTAATGCTTAATGAACAAGACATCATGGACTGTATTTGATATCGTGTTAATAACTATAAAGAGGCAAATGAACACGTCATATTTTTATCTTTGGGAACTTCAGTGCAAAAAAGTTAAGACATAAGTGCATATACATTGAAATCTGTAGTCAATTTAAGCTATTAACTGTTAAATTCACCAATGTAAAACTATTTTGTCTCTTTTCCCTCCCACTGCAGGGCTAAAATACATACTTTTATAGTAGCTATTATATGATATATATGTTTACAATCTATATTTCTGAAAACTTAAAATTATATACTAAGATTTATTTGTATATTCACACAGAATTTACAGGCACTAGCATAATTTAATTGATTTGACATACAAATTCTCCTTTTTGAAGCCTTATATTGTTTTATACCTGTCACCATTCTTTTTGTTTTGGTTTTGGTCTTTGGAGACAAGTTCTTGCTATGTCATTCAGGCTAGTCTTGAACTCCTGGCAATTGTCCTGCTTCAACCTTCCGAGGGCTGGAATTACAGGCCTGGACCACTATCACCATTCTTATACATGTGGCAATAATCGTGTTCTTGCATAAAGTTCTTTCCATTAAGAATATATCATGATAAATTTCAAGAAGTTGATTTATTAAAGAACAATGTGCAAATATGTTTATACCTCTTATAAAAATACAGCTTTTATGAATAGTTGTGCAAATAATGGATTCATGTAATGCTTTCTGTACAATTTCAACTGAACAGCAACTGATACACGTCCTAAATAAAGAGCTATGGAGCATATCAAGTCTATCACTGGCAAGTTTAAATTGCATCCTTATTGCAGTAAAAGATTGGAATTAACTGAGTTATAGCCTTAGTTATTCACATCTTCATCAGAATTATATAACTCCACATCCTTGCAATGACTGAACTCATAGTGAGTAGAATATACTATTTTGCCTCAAGATATTAGACTGACTTTTCATTCTTATTGGGCTATTGGCATGTTAATAGGCATTCCTGAAATTTAGTGTGTTCTTTCATAGTTGGATTTGCTCTAGGTAGCTGCTTCCCTCTCAGCCTGGAATCTATAGAAAGCCATGCCCAAAGTCACTCTGGTTCAGTGAAGGAGAGACACATGGAACTGACCAGACTCTACCTGCCTGAAACTTGGCGCTTGGGCTTCACAACCCAGAACTAAGAGCCGGAAGTCCAGCCTACTTCTTCCAGGTGCAGCTGACTTACAGATTTGGAGCACTAAGTGAAATGATTGTTGCTTTAATACCTGTGTGTGAAACATTTGATAAATTATTGTACCATGTTATACAAAGATTTCAACTTATACATTACCATTCTGAGATTCTAGAAATTTTAGAGCAAATGCTTGTGTACTTCTTGATTTTTAAGATATGCTATGAGTTGTATTTCAGAATTAAATTTTTAATTATTTTTAAAACAGTGCCCACACTATCAGAAAGATTATTTCCATCAAATGTACAGTTATTTAGAAAAGTTGCCTGCCCTTCTACATGTTAAATAACTTTATTTTAGGCGGTAGCAGGATTAAACCTAGTATGTTCATGGAATTGAAATTACACATACTAAAGGGATTTGAGAGCATTTAGAAATAGACAACAATTTGCAGTATAACAACCACTGGTGAATTCCTACAATCCTTTCTAGTGAAACTATGTATTGTTTCTAATATTCTTTTAAATTATTATTTTCTTATTCCCTTTAATGATGTGATCAATCTTGTACTCTTACATCTGGCAATCTGAGCAACTTCATTGTTACAACAATATGTAATATAATAACTACTATTAATTCCTTAAAAAAATAGAGCAGATGTTGTCAATTTGAAAGTGAATGAGGAGTGGTTAAATAAAATATAAGGGCCTCTATCTTCAGAAGTTGCATTCTTTCCTATATCATTTTGTAACACCTGGGCATCACACATGTTTAGATGTTTGAGAGGTGCAGTAGTTGAAGCAATTGGGACTTATTATGGAGCAACTGATACTCCACATGTTGGAGAAATATTTTAGAAGGTGTGTTAGTTTGGGGCTTATTTTGCAAGGGGAACAATATAATACAGGACACATACTTTATCTGATTATTTATAATAGTCACCCAAAGAACAGTATACAAAAGAGTGCAGGAAATCTGTCCACATGCTAAGACCAAGGAATCCAGCTGAGGGCCTGGATCCCACAACAATGTCCTACATGAGTCCAGTTGAATATTTATAGCTCATAGCAATGCCTCCCACGAATCCAACTGGAGGCCCAAAGTCCATGACAACGTCTCATGCAGGCCTGTTTCACAGATCTGCTGGGAAGACCCAAAGGTCAGTGGTGGAATCTACAAAGTTTGTCCCAGCAGGATGAAGGACCTGTGCTAGCAGGCTGAGGGATCTGCACTGGAGCCAGGAAGTGATGCTCAGAAGAATGAGAGCTCCCCCCAAAAGTACCACAGCCATCCTCGGCAACAGTGAGGTCCCGAGCTCCTCCAATGATCAGGATGGCCGAGTTGCCATCAGGGAAGCCAATGCAGCAAGATTTTCCAGGAGGCCGGCAGTGCACCATCTTCCCCTCAGGAACCAAGAAGCGATGTTCAAAGTGAGGACCAGAGCTCCCCTAAAGTGAACCGAAGCCATTCTCAGTGCCAGCGAGGCCCCGAGCTCCTCAGAGGATGAAAACAGCCAAGTTCATCAGGAAAGCTAGCTCCCCACAGCTTCTACTAGCTCCCCACAGCTTCTACCAGCTCCCAACAGCCTCTCTCAGCTCCCAACCACCTGCTTCTTTTCCAGGTCCGCCTGCTTCTTCTCCAGGTCTGCCTCTTATGCTGCTGGCAGCAGTCCTCAGGTGGGCCTCCCACACCCAGTAGCACACTCACTTAGTTCAGCTGGGGGTTATAAGTTGAGCACCAGTTACCAATCTACTACAGAAGATGATAGCAATGTTAGAAATATAATAAAATGTTAGAAATATAATAAAACTAATGAGCACACACAAAAAATAATTCCTAAAAATGCTGAGAAAAAAGTCACCAATAAAATGAAGCTAATTCCTTACAGTTCTATAAATTGAGTGGGCATGTACATAGAAGACAAATACATGCTTTATATCAATGTATACAAACAGGTAATATCTGTCAAGTAAGATTGTTTTGTATGGAGAAGAAAGAAAAGTAGTGAACATGAATTGAACAGAAATAAGTTTCAATATGAATTTTGCATACATGTAAATGATGTATTTTTTTCAAAAAAGATTACATGCAATGGGCATTCTGAATTTGCTGTCCAAGTTACTAATAATTTCCTTATGTCTTTCTAATATTTATTTATGAGTTTATACTTCTAATAACAGTGTAGAGATATACTATTTTACTATAAGTATAGCATAATATTGTGTTATCATTGTACATTATGTGATTTTTCTATTCTCTTTTGGTGAAAATTTGGACTTTTAAAATTACTTTTAGTCCAGGCTGGGGATTTAGCTCAGTGGTACAGCGCCTGCATGGCAAGCACAAGGTCGTGAGTTCAATTCCCTGTACCGGTAAAAACAAACAAACAAACCAAAAAAATTACTTTTAATCATAAACAAGTTCAAACTGAAACTCCCTGCATAAAATTGAAAACTACAGTTTTGTTGTGAGATTCTTAGATGTATAACTGCAGTATACAATAGTTTCCAAGATTTAAAAATTGAATAGATAATGCCAAGTCACTTTCTAAATATTGTTAAGCTTTAAACACACGGCAACATTCAGAGTTTCTATTTTAGAACCTCATCTCATATACTCTATATAATTCCTTGTATTTTAGCCCATTGCAGTGCTTTTTATTGTTGTTGTTTATTGCTGAGGCATCTTTTGCCAATCTTTCTGTGGAGAATAAAAATGAATTCATTAAAAGCAACTACATATTTCATTTTTGGTATAATGGTTGAAGATAGAAAACCATTAAAATATGTAAATGGGATTTATAATTTATGGAAAAACTGAAATTTTTGAATAAATCTATAAAGACTACAACTAATAAATTTTCTAAACATGTGTTAATATACTAAATAAAGGTTATTATTATCCATGTTTGCAATGTATTATAATAGAATTAAATGTAACCATGTGCTTTCAACTAAATGCTCTATAAAGATAAACATGGTATTCTAGAATCTTATAAAAGTATAATAGTTAAAATCAAATTTAATTTTCAGCATGATCTTTTAAAGTCAAATATAATCTTCAGAGTAATAAGGTAAGAAGGTCCATAGCAGATATTCTTGGCTCACCTGTCCAATCCAAAACCCATTATTCCTTGCCCATCTCTGTTCATGGATTCTTATCATTGAGATATAGGCAAGAATATTCAATTTGTTATTTTCAACAAAGGAAGTAGAACGCTTTCTGGAAAAATAACATTTCATATCACAAAGTGTTATGGTTT